TCTTCCATTTTTCGTTTGAAGAAAATTATGGCTGTTGAAGTGTACTTGGGGCTGCTTCTCCTCTTCACCCTAACTTCCCATTCAAGTAACCCAAAACTTTAATCTAAGCTAAATAATTGTTTGTATTTCCTGTATTCTCTATGTACGGACGTTGATCAATATCTGGGAATTTTCTTTCTTTTTTTTTTTCAGGTGCGACTTATTGCCTTTGCAACTCCGGGCTGAGCGACACCGTCCTCCAGAAGGACATAGACTACGCATGCGGCGCCGGAGCCGACTGTACGGTGATACTCCAGAGCGGCACGTGTTACAACCCTAACACCGTCAAGGCCCACTGCGACTACGCTCGTCAACAGTTACTTCCAGAACTAGGGTCAGGCCAACGGCACCTGCGACTTCTCTGGCACCGCCGCCACCTCCGTTACCGGCCCGACAAGTATGCCAATTAAACCGACTTGTCAATACTTTTTTTTTAAGGAATCCTTTTGGCTGCTTATTTGATTTAATTTCTCGGGTTTTTTTTTTTCAGACGTGGCATCTGGTTGCGTCTACCAATCAAGTCCAAGGTACTTTAATTAATAAACGACGTCATTATTAATATCTCTTTCTCTCTCTCTTTATACACATATTTACATATATACACGCTGTGATGTATTAATTCTTTCCATCTCGAAGTTTCCGTGTTGATCTGGACATGGGTTTTTTTTCTCACAGGCATTTTTTGGCGAAAAAATTACCCTTTAGGCTTTGTTTTGGTAGTGAGATAAGAAAGAGACTGCGGGATTAAAATTTGGCATAATTTTGGCTTAATCCTAGTTTCACACTGACAAACAATTAGAGGTCCAGCATTTTGTATGACACGTATAATCACATGATAAATTATTGTTAATGGCCGTCCTGGACAAGAACATGATCTGTCTTGACATGCGTCACACTTCTAAATCTAATATTGTCTGTCCATTTATCTTTCCCCTAATAGTAAGAAAGACGGTATTTAAGGTAAAATGGTTGCCCTGTCACTTTGATACCACCGAAAGCTGTTGTTTAGCTTCCGAGAAATCCGTTTCCTGTATTTTTTGATGGCTACGTGCCATCTAACACAAGCTGCGATCTCACTCACTATTTTCATATTGAAAGTCCTCTGTTTACCATTATCAAAGTATTTGTTTCCTTAAATTTCTGGTGTTTCCGTAAATTTTGAATTTAACTTTTTTAAATCAGGGGTTCTATACTTTAAAACATGAACTTTCTAAATTAGCAGAACTAATTTCACTTGGAGATATGAACGCCACCAAGCATATTGTAGATATTTTATGCATCCATTCAATCTTATCTGCAGTTCTACTACACCATCAACCACACCACCAAGCACCGGAACCGGCACGACGACTCCATCAACCACACCACCAAGCACAGGTACCGGCACGACGACTCCATCAACCACACCGTCGTCCACCATTCCGTCTCCTTCAGTGTACAACGGATTAGGACCCAGCGGCACTAGCATCGATAACCCTTCAGGCGCTACTCAACCAGGCTGCTGCAATAACTTCTGGTTTCGTCCCTAGTTTCTTCTATGACCCTCTGGTCCTTGAGCCTAATCTGGCGGGGTTGAGAAGAGAGTGTGGAGATGAGCAAAAGTGATTTTGCCTCGTCAGGTTGTTCTTTTTAGTTTTTTTTATTTTGACATTGAGATTGTTGCGAGGTCATTGTCTAGAGATAACCAATCAATCCTAATTCCGACCAAATAGTGATCCTTTTTCTTTCAACTTTTTGTTTCTTGTTTCTTTCTGATGTGAAAAGATGGGAATTGGATACCCCAATTATTGTTGTTGTTGAGCCTGTCAGGGGGATAACATGTTGCTGAGTTGTGGTGTTAGGGTCTCTAAGAGTAAATATTCCTCTGTCTGGGCATTTTGGTTATGTACACCCAGATGGAGAGAGGTAGTAATTAGTATTAGTGAGGTAATGTTTTATCAGCTTAGCTTTCAACTTTCTCGAGCTAATAGAGATCGGTGGCCTTCAAGTTTGATATCTATTTTTATGTATTATGTTCTCTTTTTTCCTTAAAGAAGGCTCTGCCCTCCACAAACTGGTTCCCACACGTCCTAGTGCACGAGATTCGTCCATTTTTGAATCTATCTCGAACTCTCAATAAGTCTAGCCAAATGAATATGTGAATATTTTAACTTTGAAAATAAATTCACCGATTTTACCATTTTGCATAAAATTGAATGAGTGCAATAGCATTGGGGTCTTGTTTGGTGGATACTCGTATAGTCGTATTCAATTGGATGACATGTTTTTACAATTAATGACGTGACCATATTGATTTGGACAAATTACAAAGTTGACCATCTAAGGGTGATAAGGAAAGAAATGACCTTTATGCTGAGGAGACGCACATTCAACCTCTCTGTAGCTTGCTTCTCCCACAAACTCAACAATTAATTGAGCGGTAGAATCTGGTTTCTCGACGTGAGGAAGGTGGCCGCATTTTGGTATTCGACGCAGCGTTGAGTTTGACATTTCAGACTGCAATTTCTGCAGAAGACAACCCACAAGTAAATACACTGTGAGCTGAAACTAACGACGGGAAGCAGTTTTGGCATGTAAGAGTACGAACCAAAGCCAATGTGCTGCTAATAATTTGGTCCTCCTCTCCCCAAATGATCAATGTCCTCTGTTTGACCTGCACAACCAAGCATCTGCTGCTGAGTAAGACAATCCTAAGGAAGCTTAACTTGGCTAGGGATTTCGTACAGAAGGTACCTTCTCAATCAGAGGGCTGACGTTATAACCGCCACCAATCATAAAGCTAATGGTTGCATCCTCCCACCATGGATATAGACAATGCAAGCGTCCGATCTAGAAGTGAGGTTCAAAAGGGTTAGATTAATAACAGATTCAAAATGCCAATCTGAAAATTTTCATTGCACTTTTTGAAGGCAACTGGAAACAATGTAGACATCAATGGCCTGGTCCCTCACCTTCATCCAGTCTATGGCGGGTACCCAGAGATATATCTTTGAACGAGAGAAAATTGGCATACAATCGCAGAGGGACACTCTTCAGGATATTGACCTGAAACAGATAAGAACGAATAAAGGTTCATGATGCGCTCGGGAGTGATTGAGAATGATTAATTGTGAAGCCAGAAGGTAGTAGGGAAAAACACTTGAGCGGGCCAGTTCACCACGATCAAGTTGCCGAATGGCCTCTAATTGGAGGATTCTCTATATGAACCAAGTGAAGCAGATCATTTGCAAAGATGGTACCGTGAAGCTTTGTGATTTAACAGTACCAGTGTCGTAGAGACTTACACCAGCATATGCCACCATCCTGGGCAACTTTGCCATGTTTCCTGTTCCTTCAGCGTAAACACTTGCATCAATTAAGACCAGTGCTGTCACCTGGAAAGATTGAAAACTTGTAAAAATTCGGGAACTTCTTCAAGTCTCAAGGTCATATAACATGTCTTCCTACAGCATCCGGGGTGATTGGCTGTAAAGTCAACTGCAACGGCAGCTCCAAGGCTTGGTCCCGACCAGCACGACAGGCCTTTTAATGTAGGACTTCCATAGCTGCATTCAGGCAACAAAATCAATCGTCACGTGTCTCATTTGGAAGAAGGTTGTCGAACATTCGCAATCAAGAAAGCAGATGTGCTATATGTTCTTCCACGACGACAACAAAATCCAAAAGGAGAACCTGATACAAGTGCTCACGCTTTGAAGCCACATCGCAAGGCTGAAGGATCTCTGGTACACAAGAAACCGGTTAGTTACCGAATCAAGTACAACTCCAAGAAGCTCACGAAACGCAGAATACACATCGTCTATACTCGTCTAAACCTCCATTAACGAAGAGAAACGAACCTAGATCAGAGAAACCCCAGCCGAGAACGTCAACTGCCCAAGCCTCGAGTCCGGCCTCCTCGAGAAGCGGGTATGTGTATCTCCATTCTAAACAGGAACTGGAATTATAACATTGAAGTGAACTCTAGCACCACTCCTTTTTCAAAATTTCTTTTCTCCTGAAAATCTATCCAAAATAAGTTCGAACGAATAGCAACGGAGGACCTGTCAAAACCGTGGAGAAGAAGCAGCGGCGGGGAGGAGGCGGCCTTGCTCCCGATCGACGGCGCCACACAGCTGCTCATTATACTCTTCTCTGCGAAGCTGACCTGTCAATATATTTCCATTTTTATTTCTCCAGAGAAAAAAAAGAAAACAGGAAATCGATCACGTTTAAATAACCATTAGAGGATAGTATTAGTACGTTTACGGGAAGCCTTCGGATCCTGGAAGCCAGCTTTCTAGCGTCTGCGTCCTTGATGTTCTCCACTTGCTTCGGCAGGAACGGCGGGGAAGCTCTCGACCGCCACGATTCTCACGAAACGACGCCGCATGAAGATTCGTGTGGTCGGCGTTGTTACCCCGAACGACGCCGTTTATGGTTAGCATCTTCTCTCTTCGTTTTTTTTTTATGTGGTGAGCATCGCATCAGCGAGATGGCGCGGGGATTGGACGAGGGGAGGGAAGGGTAGTCGTTGAGGAACCGTGGGCCTTCTGATGGGCCTGCTTCACTTTAATTTGTGGGCCCAAAGCCCAAAAGGTCTGACCCTAGAACCCAAAGTTAGAAGAATTCGGCGATGATCCGATGGCTGCATGATTCTTAACTCGGCAAGTTAGCCAATAAATCATTAATATTTGTAGTTATATAATTTTCAAAATCAAACTAATTGGTCCCTAAATCTAAAAAACTGTCATTTTTTTTTCTCGAGTAGTTAGCACTAAAAGACGAGGCCCAATGAATCATGGGCCTTGTGGCGCGCGCTCCAAGTTCAATTTAAGGCCCGGCCCGTTAAGTATAAAGTGAAGTTAGAGGTGCCAAGCAGCAGAAGTGGGGAAGGATGGAAGCGCCAGAAGGGAGAGCCGGAACTCCGCCGCGTCCGCCGCCGCCGCCGCCGGCTCCGGCTCCTCCTGTTCGTAGTTCAGATGTCTTCAACCTTACTGCTCTCCGTCATCGTCCTCTTAGTGGTAATCCGATCTACCTCTCTCTCTCTCTCTCTCTCTCTCTCTCTCTCTCTCTCTCTCTCTCTCTCTCTATTTTCAGTTTTCTCCACACCGATTTACTTTAGCTTGATCCTTGCATCGTAAAATGTAACCGTTTCTGGTATTTCCTGCTTGATGTAGGACCTTAACTTTAACTGTTAGTGACTGATTATTTTTTTTTATTTTCCAGATTTTTGCGTCGTATGGATCGAATATTTCTTCGAATAGCTTGATGATCTTGCACCAAGTACCGGAAGGGCATGTCGGGGTGTACTGGAGAGGAGGTGCGCTTCTTCAGACGATTACTAGTCCAGGTCTGATGCTTTGTGCTTTGGCTTGTATAGTGTTATTTATCGGGAATCAACGTTATACGGAATCGCCCACGGTTTTGTTTCGGTTATCACTTTGTTAGGTTTTCATTGGAAGCTGCCTTTCATAACCTATTACGAGCCGGTTCAAGTGACTCTTCAGACTGATCAGGTGAGTGCTCTTTGTTGATGTTCTGCGTTGTGAATATGGACGGTTCTTTTTTAGACGAATTTAATTTTTTTTTTCATATCGGAAACTTGGATTCAGGTCAGGGATATTCCATGTGGGACCAAAGGTGGTGTCATGATTAACTTTGAGAAGATCGAGGTGAGTTAGCAAATTTCTCACTGTTTCTTCTTTCTTGTACCATCAAGGACTTAATGTCACTTGAAGTGTATGAACTATGAATCAATTGAGATACATTTCGATTTGTAGGTTGTAAATCGGCTGCATAAGGACCATGTGTACGATACACTGCTGAACTATGGTGTGAAATACGACCACACCTGGATATATGACAAGATTCATCATGAAATCAATCAGTTCTGTTAGTTCGCATTCTCTTCAACAAGTGTACATTGATGTATTTGATCAGGTACTCATGAATGTTTAAGGAGAGTGTATTTCATTGATATTCTTGTTTGGATCATAGCATTGCAATTTGGGTATGTAGTTGCTTGATGTTGCTTTTTATTCCTTTTTTTTCGAGAGGGTTGCATTTATTCCCACTAGACTACTACTAATTGTTTAAACTCTCTCAACATTGGTTTCCGCATAGAATGTCGCCCTTGTCCTACTTATTAATTATTGGAAAAATCAAAATCAGTGGCTCATGTTTGGTAAAAGATATTATCTTCTTGCAGATAGATGAAAAGATGAAAGAAGCACTACAGGGTGATTGCACTCGCTATGCTCCTGGCATTGAGATTATCAGTGTCAGAGTGACGAAACCAACCATTCCTGAGAGCATAAGGAGAAACTTTGAACAGATGGAAGAAGAGCGTACCAAGGTGCAACTATTTCCTATCAAATGAATTTCACCATCCACCTTTCGTTTCATCCCAAGGGATGAGGATGAATGGTGGTTGCATTTACCAATTTTTCCTGTGAAAGAATTCCTATACTATTGGAGAGAGCACGAGTAAGTTTGGTGTGTTCCAAAAAGTTGCCGGGACCCTACTTTGAATTGCATAACTAGGTAGAAGTCAGCGGCTTAAACTCTTGGTTGACCTGTGGAGCAAACTCTCCAAGATCCATGAATGATGTCAGGGAATTTCCCTCTTCATTCCCAGCTTCCAGTCTGCCCAATATCCATTACATTTACTAAGCGAATGTTAATTGCTATTTTATTACATTAGTCGTCTGACTACAGGTTGATCTTGTACATGTACATCTGTGTGTAGGTGTTAATTGCTATAGAGAAACAGAAAGTAGCTGAGAGAGAGGCAGAGACAATGAAGAAGATGGCTATCAGTGAAGCCGAGAAGAATGCTAATGTGAGCAAGATCCTCATGCAACAGAAGTTAATGGAAATGGACAGTTCTAGGAGGCAGCAGGAGATTGAAAATCACATGTACATGGCCCATGAGAAGAGCCTCGCTGATGCTGCTTTCTATCGGTAATTATGTTCCCTTTTTTTTACTCTGGGAGAACATTTCCGGATGTGGTTTCGGTGCAAGATAGTTAAACCAACATGCAAAGTGGTGTTTAAGCATCTGCTTGGTAGGTTCTAACGAGTTTGCCTGATTTACCTTGTACACAGTGTTATGAAAGAAGCTGAAGCAAACAAGTTGAAGCTTACTCCTGAGTTTCTTGAACTGAAGTTCATTGATGCCATTGCTGTTAACACCAAAATCTTCTTCGGAGACAAGGTAGGGGAAGAGCATTTTCTTTTGCACAATTTCATCTGTGCATGGTTTTTCCGAAGGCTTGCTTGCTTCATTAATTGGCTTCCTTTCCCAGGTCCCGAACATGGTTCTCGATCAGAGACTGCTAGGGAATTTCCTCCATAGGATGTCCAATGAGGTCATCAAAGGAGGCAGCTCTGAAGAACACATTCAGTCTGAGAGCAGCATATAACGAGAGAATGGTGCCTGAAAAAAAAAAAAAACCTTCAACGGCTTAAATAGTAGCTGATCCTCCGTCTTCTGCCACTAATCGCGGTAGCCTGCCTGCATCATGATTTTGATCATTGTAGATATGGTTTCGATACAAATGCATGAAGTTATGGTTTCACTAATCTGGCTAGCTTCGTGTTTCCTGGATTTATTTTGGTTTCGCATGAAAAAGATATGTTTAATTTTTTTGTGGAAAAGGATTACCCCTAAGAAATTTAGGAGAACATTTCCGAACAACTTTTATGAATTTGCTTCCAAAATTTCTCCTGTAAATTTGGGCCTCACGGGAGGACCAATGTGTCCAAATCATACCTCGTCGATCAGAAACCTTTAAATTGAGGTCAGTGATCGAACCTGCGGCGATTAGATATCCAGTAATCATGAATTTTGCTAAAATAAATATTGAGTTCGAATCATTTAAAATATAAAAATATAATTTGACCGGAACATAAATTAGGTGAACCTCAGATTTCGTAGTAGAGGAAACATGAACATTGACGACGAAAAGGTTTTGACTTTAAACATGTGATGGGGCTTTTGATTGGCCAATTGGAATTTACCTCTTCTCTCTCTCCTCCCGTCCAACTGCAGAAAAACAGAAAATTATTATGACACTTTTCTGAGTTCCCTCGACCTTGGAATCTTTTTATCTGAATCTGACCCGCCGCCGTTGGAATATCCCCCGGTGGTGTTGATGCCATTCTTACCACCAAGCAGCAGCTAACCACGGTATGAATCTTACACGTGCGTTGACTTTCTTTGTAACCCAAGGCCAAGCCTACTTTTCACTCTTCATTTCACATGGTATGGTTTCCGTTTCTTACATGTAAAGTCTCAACCATATGTACTTTGTTTTTCTAAAGGGAAGTTCATTTACTTCATTATAGTGCTCAAGGTTTGAACCCTAGTCCTGAACTACAATTCCAGTTAGGTTAATGGTATTGCAGGATTCTCTAGGAACTTACAAGGAGAGGATCATCTCTGGTGGTGGGCTGAAAATGTATCTGGTGGAGAACAAAGCTGGAGCCATAGCTTGCATGTTGCTTTCCCTTTGCTTGCTGGGAACTTGGCCTGCTCTTATTACTCTCCTAGAGAGACGAGGCCGTCTTCCCCAACACACCTATCTCGATTACTCTCTCGCCAATCTCCTGGCTGCTGTGATATATCGCCTCGACTTTCGGCGAGCTTGGCTCCATGGCACCGAATTTCTCAACCCAGCTTTCCCAGTTGAGTGTATGTTCAACGAACCGACTAACCAACTTCAAACCTTGATTTGTCGGGCTGATTGATCATGCTAATGTAGGAGAACTGGCCGTCGGTGTTTGTTCTCAGCCTTGGGAATCTAGCGACTCAATATGCTTTGGCATTTGCTGGTTTATCAGTGACTGAGGTCATCACAGCTAGCATGGACAGTGGTCTTTGGTTAGTTGCCATTGGTGCTCCTGCAACTTCACAAATTTAGAGCAAGCAACTGTCTGTAAAGGTTGTGTTCGGATTGATTTTGGTGCAGGAACAACCGTGAATTACTTCCTTGACAACAAGCTCAATAAGGCCGAGATTCTTTTCCCTGGCGTCGCTTGCTTCTTGATCGCATCTTGTCTTGCTTCGGCTGTTTACAAGTCCAATGCAGCTGACAACCAAGTAAAGCTTGAATCTTTGTCCTCTGATGAAAAAGATGAGCAGGGTACTTGCGTACTCTTATTGTGTTGAAGTCCTTAACTGTAGAATTCATTCTACGAATTATCGGATGAAAAGCGGAAACTGACAATAATAAACTGACCTTTTGACAGGGCTACAGATTCTGATGTCCCCGGAGAACCTTTACTTGGTAGATTAGAATAGTTGTCTGGTCTGCAACTCATGTTGCTCATTTTCTATAATTTTCTTAAAGACTTGTTTATGCAGCAACAAAGGATCCGGAGGCCGGAAATGCATCAGTAAAATGAAAACTTTGGAGCAGCAGGACTCCTGCTGGAGCTTGAGAACAAAAGAGCAATCAAGGTTGCCCCAAAATATAATGCCTTTTCGGTCACTTAGAAGCATCCACTATTCACTGACTCATAGCCATATCGTCTCCTTGCAGGTTCTAGGAAAGAGCACATTCATAGGACTGACAATTGCCTTCTCTGCTGGTGTATGCTTCTCCATCTTCTCTCCAGCATTTAACTTGGCAACAAATGATCAGTGGCACACCTTGAGGAAAGGTGTCGCTAACTTGGTCGTCTACACTGCATTCTTCTGGTTCTCGATCTCCTGCTTCGTCGTAGCCATCATCCTCAATCTTACTTTCCTCTATCACCGGTGTTGGGATTACCGAGATCGTCGTGGAAGGCTTATATCCGAGATTGGAATGGCAGGTGGTGGGCTTTCTTAGCAGGTCTCCTCTGCGGTGTAGGAAACGGCCTCCAGTTTATGGGCGGCCAAGCAGCAGGGTATGCTGCCGCAGATGCTGTTCAGGTTAGTCTAATGCATATATGACCAATCTAAGCAACTGTCCGTAAAGACACTGACTCAATCATCTTTATATTATCGTGGCGCTTATATCAGGCACTTCCACTTGTGAGTACTGTCTGGGGGATAGTCTGTTTGGAGAATACAGAAGATCGTCCCGGAGAACTTACACACTGCTCGCTAGCATGCTGTTCATGTTTGTAGTTGCAGTTTCCCTGCTCATTGCATCAGCGGGACAGAGAGAATGAACTCGATGTGCCTACTGCCGCTCCTTATCCCAGACGCCAGACCTGCTGCAGCCTGCAGTTGATTGATGTACATATACATTTTTTCCAGAAACTGGGAATTTCGTTAATAATAAGATCATAGGACATCTTTTAATAGTGCATTTAATCTACAAAAGATCTCTAATACATTGTAGCTATAAAAAACCAGAAACATTGGACAGTGTAAAAGACAATATCTTGACATCTCATGTAGTATAAGACGGTGAAATGAATATACGGTCAACTTTAAGGCAGGAGGAAAGATGTGAACGATGAAAGAATCTCCTTTGGATTGAGATAGAAGGGAGGCAATCTTGGTTAAAGATTAAGCTTGAAAAGGAAAAGAAAAAAAGTTGGCGCTAGAAGGAGGGCTTGAACCTCCGACCTTGTGGTTAAAAGCCACACGCTCTAGCCAACTGAGCTATTCCAGCTTGGATGGTTACGACAAGGACCTGTGCCAATATATATACAAATGTTGACAAAAAGAACCAGAAACGAGCAAAAGCTCAAAAGCTCTCTCTTTTCTCTCCGCCGGTGGCCACCAATCTCACATCAATGCCGCTACTACAATGTGGAGAAGAAGACCACCTCCTGTTTCACTTCTCCCCTTGTCCAAACCATTTTCTTTCTCAACCTCAACCTCCTTATACTCCTTCTTGGACCCTTCAATCTTCTCCTTCCCTAAGAAGCCACCTCCTCCTCCTCCTTCACCTTCACCTTCCTCCAATCCTAACTCCCCAGAGGCCACCCAATCCCCAATAACCCAACACCAGCTCGAGATCACCCTCCACCAATCCCTCCTCGCCAAAGACACCGACCTCGCTTGGAGATCCTTCAAGTCCCTTCTTCCCAACACCAACAACCCCCTCTCCAACTCCCTAATCACCCACCTCGCCTCCCAAACCGACGCCTCCGTCCTTAACCTCAAGCGGGCGTTTGCCTGCTCCGTTTACCTGATCGAGAAGAACCCACATGTGATCGAGTTCGAAACGGTCCGTTCCCTTCTGGGTTCCATGAAAGATGCAAACTTGTCTGCCCCCGCGTTTGCTCTCGTCAAATCCATGCTTAGATACAGGTACTTTATGCCTTTTTCCATGTGGGGTGACTTGCTGGTTGAGATCAGCCAGAAGAGTGGTAAAGGCGTGGCCTTTTTTCGGGTTTTCGAGGAGTGTTGTAGGGTGGCTGTGGAGGAGAAGGTGGAGTCTATGAGACCTAATTTGAATGCTTGCAATGCCGCGTTGGCGGCGTGCTGCTACGAGATGGCGTCGGTGAGTGATGCGGAGAGCATTGTGGAGAAGATGTCGGTGTTCGGACTTAGGCCTGATGAGCTAACCATAGGTCTGCTTGCTTACTTGTATGCATTGAAAGGGAGTGTAGATAAGGTTGTTCAGTTGAAGAGTTTGTTGTTTGGGCTTGGTTTTCGGAGCAGGAGGTTCTTCTATGGTAGTTTGGTTAGTGGGTATGTGAAGTCTGGGGATTTGGGGTCCGTTTTGGAGACTGTCCTGTCCGGATTGAGGGACGAAGACAATGAGGGTCCGAGGTTTGGCAATGAGACTTACAATGAGGTGGTTAAAGGGTTTGTGAAGGCTGGTGATGTAGCGGGGTTGGCAAATTTGATTACCAAGGCTCAGGAGTTAGAGCCGGAGAGTTTAGAGTATGATAAAACTGTTGGTTTTGGGATAATAAATGCTTGTGTTAATCTTGGATTTTCAGACAAGGCGCACAGCGTCGTGGATGAAATGGATGTGCAAGGCGGTTCCATGGGGCTCGGGGTTTATGTGCCCATCTTGAAGGCTTATTGCAAAGAGCATCAAACAGCTGAAGCTACCCAGCTGGTCATGAAGATCAGCAATGCAGGACTGGTTTTAGATGCAAACAGTTATGATGTTCTCATTGAAGCATCCATGGCAAGCCAAGATTTCCATTCGGCTTTTACGTTGTTTAGGGACCTGAGAGAGAGCAAAGTGGAGGATCTGAAAGGCAGTTATCTCACAATCATGACGGGGTTGATGGAGAACCAGCGTCCCGAATTGATGGCCGCATTTCTGGACGATGTTGTCGAAGACCCTCGAGTTGAAGTGAAAACCCACGACTGGAATTCGATTATTCATGCCTTCTGTAAGGCCGGTCGATTAGAAGATGCTAAGAGAACTTTCAGAAGAATGGCTTTCCTTCAGTTCGAACCAAATGATCAAACATACTTATCCCTGATCAATGGATATGTGACGGGGGAGAAATATTTCAATGTTCTATTGCTATGGAATGAAGTAAAGCGAAAGGTCTCGGTTGAGAAGGATAAAGGTTTAAACTTTGAGCCGAGTTTGGTTGATGCATTCCTTTATGCATTGGTTAAAGGAGGCTTCTTCGATGCTGTGATGCAAGTTGTAGAAAAATCTCAGGAGATGAAAATCTTTGTGGATAAATGGAGGTATAAGCAAGCATTCATGGAAACTCATAAGAAGCTCAAAGTATCAAAGTTGAGGAGGAGAAGCTTCCGCAAGATGGAGGCTCTTGTTGCCTTCAAGAACTGGGCTGGTCTAAATGCATGAAGATGTTGAGTTATTCAATATGTTGGAACCGAGTTTTACAATTTTGCTCGAATTTAGATTAGTTCAGATATTATGTGGTGTTAAAACATCTTTAAATTATCACTGGAATTGAAGATGTGCAAATAGCTCTGTACAAAGATATTCAAGTGCTACTGTTCTTGGATATCAACAATAGTAAATTACTACAATGGAAACACCTTCTTGTGCTTAAAATAAAACAAAAAGGCAAAGTACAAAATCCCACACGCAAGTCCAGTTATAATCAGAACCCAGTTAAATGTTGACGAATTATTAAAAACTGAGGCTTCGAAGTTCATTCCGAATACTCCAGCTACGACAGCAAAGATTGTGGCCACGAAAGTTGCAGCAGTTAGAAGCAACTCGAACTGGATCAATTGGTTCTGGACATTTCCCTGCTCATGAAGGAAGGATGAAGACATAACTCAAAGTCAGGATTCGTCGATGGACGGGAGGAAATTGATGAAATTTCAATAAAAAGGCGTTAAACCACAGCTCACCAACTTGATGTTGATCAGATCTTCAGTATCGTCAATATATTCTTTAAGCTACATGGGGAAAAAAGTTCATGAGCTAGATCGAATGACTCGAAGAAAATCATAGAAAGCATCTTCTCTGGTTCCAAGGCCAGACAAGCTTTCTTTAGTTGTTCTAATAGCATCATTTGACTATTTAGAGAAGTAAGTGGTAGTAAAAATGTAAGAGCTGGAAACAAGGTAAGAAGTGGATCATGTGGCAAATAAGCTCTCACCGAGAACAACTTGCTGAGCGTGTGTGATCAATAGCAACAAAATAAGCTTCAAGCAGCATTTCAAGTTGATCGATATTTTCGGCTTCACTAGAACTTGTTAGGGGTACTATGTTTACTTGTATTGACAATACTGCTGAATGCCCTTTGTAGTTGCTCTGCCCCACTGATTGACCGCACCGGTGAAACAGGTGCAGACTTTGAAACCTCTTTGCTCATCGTTGATGTAACATCATCAAAATATTCATCATCTGCTGCAAAGCCTTCCAATCTCTGTTTCTTTTCTGTTAAGTACATCTCCGCCATGTCACCATCATCATCCATGAGATGTTCTATTTCATCATGAACCTACAAGTTCCATCAGAAACAAAGATTAGAAGTCAAGTATGTGATAGGAGAAAGGGGGAGAAGACGAGAGTTTACCTTTTGAACTCGCTGAGTCAACGCAAGAAGCTGGCCTTTCAGTCTACGGACGCGTTCCAAATTAAGAGTATTGATAGAGTAAGCTAGCTCATCCAGTACCGGATATATTTCCATTTCCAGTTCTTTTACCTGGTCAAGAAAGCATACCATCATTTAGATAAATGGAAATTTACATTAATATTCACAGGGAAATACAGTCTATCTGCAACAGGTTACAGACTACCTGGACATCAAGAGTCAAACAAATTAATTCCAGAGCCAGTTCCAAAGCTCTAAATTCAAATGGCAAGTCCTCTGAATCAGCGGCAACCATAAGTAATTGTATATAACAGATATTTTTACAAAGTCAAGTCAACAACAGCTCTTTTTTGTTTACCTCCTTGATCCTTGTTCATCTGTAGCCTTTTGCAGAATTCCGACTTGAATTGGACAACACATCCATCCAATGAATTCATCAGAATCACCTCATCGGCAGTGATGATACATCTAATCTGTTCAAGATTGACAACAATAGCCTTTTCCCGTCCTAGAATCGCTGAAGGATAAATAAAAAGAGGGTCCAATAGACGCAAATCTCTGGCGGGCAAAGCGCAATGCTTCATAATGGTAGACTTATCAAGTTCTAAAACATTCAAGTTCCCACTCTGATCGATCTTGACCCAAGAACGACACCCATGTCCATGGCCCCGTTTCTTTAATCCTTGAAAGCCAAACCCCTGATATTTCCCAAACCCATCAAAAGTAGGCCCTCCAGTCTCCATTCCACTTCAAGTTCTTATTTCAACACATCAAGAAAAAGCCGAATTGGTCATTGTTCTTAATCAACTCTTTTCAGACTAAACCCAGTCTATTGTTCTTCATTCATCTACGTACCGAGACCTGATGGCGACCAAAGTAAATAACCTATAGGCAAACAAATTGGAACCAATTAGTCACCCCGGAAGCCACGCCAACATGACATCCTCTTGCTCACTAAAACCAAATAAACTAAACATGACAAAGTCACAACAAAGAAATAAAACAAAGGAGAAGGACCAAGCTAACATAAAGCATCTGTTTTAACCACATTAATTCCCAAGAATGAGAAGAGTACCACATGCTCATAGAGAAGCTTCAATAGAAACAAAGGCAAAGAATAAAAAAGGAGGAAAAAACCGCTAAAGTAAAACCAACCATAAAAACTGGAGCTTTACAAAGCATATCACGAGGAACCCATCACTCCAATGAAGAAGCTAAAGCTAGCCCACAAAAATACATAAGCAGAGACACCAAGTTGGCACCTAAAAAGACAAAACCAATCACAAAAATGGAAACTTTAGAAAACCCATCAAGAGGAACCCACCACCAATGAAGAACTAGAAGATAACCCACAAGCACTGGCTCAATAAGAGACAACGAATTCACAGCTTCACAAGTCAATGGTCAGATTCCGGGAGGCAAATCAGACAATTCCAGCGCCAACTTCCACCCTCGGACAGTCCTTTTTTCACTGTCTTCTTTGCTTCGGTTGGATTAGCCGAGACGGACACGAGGAAGAAGATGATTGACATTTTCTGTTTCTGTTATCAATGATGATCGCCTGTGTTACACGTCACGTCTTTTTTTTCTGGTAATGGGCTTTCTATTGTTAGTGGGGCCGCGTAGCAGGCCCATATCGGCGGGTCTCTGTTACTGACCAATGATTTTTTTGGGCTGACCACGGTCCGGGTTTGATCCGAATACTCACAAACCAGTTAATCGGTAACTAGTACGGATGTCGTGTAAGAATAACGAGATATTGGAACTTTCAGGTCTGTACATGATTAAAGTTTTCATATTAAGAATTACTATATTATATTAATTTTTTTTACAAATTTGGTATAAAATACACTCCATTCGATATAAAATTTCACAGCATTATAAAAGAGATCGACTTTGATCTAGTTAATCACCCGACAACGTGTTATAATATACCAGCAATTATTAGAAAAAAAGAACGTGGTTCCTACTCACCCCCCTAGGATTGCCTAAATTGAGGATATGAAAACTAAAATTATTTGTACATGCTCTTATTATTAAAAACATATTCCAACCTTTGGACCCAAGTTTTTCTTATAGATTTCCCGAGAGAAGATTATTGGTGAAGTCCAACAGAAAATGACATAAAACACCCTGCAACAGCCGACGTGGCAACCATCAAAATCGTAGCGTATCTATACGGAGTTAGTTAAAGATGGCGCGAATGGTATCCCCGAGTTAGTTGAAGTTTCCTCTATATTGTCGGAAACGCCCCCCTTTGATTTTTTCTCGTCCAAATCAAACTCTCTGTCCAAGATTTTCCCCTTTCTCTTCCCTGTGCCTTCCATTTTCTTAAATTTTTCTTTTGAATTTCTTTGTTGGATTTTTCTCTCTCGCCCTCCATTAATAGACCCCAACGACCAACATTGTCAAGACGAAAATTTTTCATTGATTAAGCCAAAAGTTAACTCTTTTAAAATAAAAACGACATCTTTGGTTTCAACTTTCAGGTACCCATTTCTCCACCATTAATGGATTCTCAAGCTCTGTCCTTTTTCTTTTTTTTTTTTGTTTGCTTATTGTGTTTTTGTTCATCTGATGATTTACGGATTCTGCAATTAATTCGCTTGTTGCAATGTCGTGTAGATTTGGACGAGACAGAACCGGAAAAGCGCATCGCTTTGTCGACACCGCCGCGGCTGCCGGCGATTTCCCTTGTAGCCGTTACATTACGTTTAGGGGTTTAGTTCGTCAACCCTTTGAAGAATTTGGTGAGTTTAATTTGCCGATGTGAATCGAAGGATCCAACTTTCAGATTCATGTTTGATAAGAATACATTACCAGTATGTTATTTCATGTTCTAAATCACCTGGTATTCAAATGTTTCTAAGTCGACTAATCTAAATTTAATCCGAGCAAACCAGAAGTTTTAAGAAGATGTTGGTATATATTTAAGTTGCTCACAAATGGATGCAATGGAGAGCCTAAGCATGTACTTGTTGTGACATGGATGGGATATTTTTTGTTCTTAATTGTCCACTTAAACAAGATCAGAAACATGGCACCCGTAGTTGTGTGATTATATTATATATAACGTTGTCGATGCCTCTCTTCGTGTTGGATGTGCACATTGTTTTGGATCTCATTGAGTCCTTTAATTTGTTTCTCCCAGCTCTTGAACCTGCTCTTCGTTAGATCAGATAACTTCTGTCTTGAACAAATGGAAGAAAGGCCACTTGAAAGCTCAATGCTTGAGGAGAAGGAAATGGAACACTGGGGAGGAACCGATGAGCATTCAGAAGGAGAACATGTCGGGGAGGAAGGCGGGTCTGAGCACTAATCCATTTGAGACGAATCTAAACCTACGAGTTCAAGCAGAAAGCGGAGACAACTTTGAGATAAACCCGGAAATGGTAGCAGGGGAAAGTCCAAGCTCAAGCTAGTACTAATTCATCTGAAGGAATCGTTATGGATGTTGATAAAAGTATGAGCAGCATCAGTCGTCACTTGAGAGCAACTCCATCAGTAAAATTAGTCTCTCCAACTTCTTCTTCGTCGACATCCTCGGAGGATCTCTTTATAGTATTGGACCCCAAACCAGATTCTAGTCCCTTGCTGCTTATAGATTGCCCCATTACCACACCTCAAGACAATGCAGATGCTACTTCCAGTAGTAACTCCTCTGAATTGGAAGAGAAGAGGAATGACTGCTTTCCGGGTCCGATGTTATTGTCTCTGGCTCCTGATGTGAAGCCTGGACTCCCGCCCGCATCACCAACCAAATCCCCTCCACTTCAGGTCATGGATAGAACAACAGCAGATGGATACGACCCTTACAGGATTCCAGCTTCTGTATTCGATAAAAGTCCATCTGCGACGCCACAAGACTGGAGTGTGGCTTCGAATGAATCGCTGTTTAGCATTCATATAGGAAACAGTAGTTTCTCTAGAGATCATGCCATTATGTTGGGGGACTTCAAATCAGGCGAGTTGTTCGCTTTAAGTCCAAAACCTCAATTCACAGCTCCAAGCCCGGTTCCTAGATCCCCGGTTTGCGCCGCCATTGACAAGAGCAATCGTTATCCCTTCCAACCAGAGAAAAATGTGGTTGTAGTCCCTCCGATAGCGGAAGGAAACGAAATGGAGGCAATGAAGAAGCAAGCGGATGAAGAAGAACGCAATCCATATGCAGCAATAAGGGTCTCATCGATAAAATATCCGGGAAAGATTTCCAAGCATTCACATTCTGGAAGTGGAGACAGCGTCAAGTCCTTTGCATTTCCAATGTAAGCGCTCTAATTTTCAGTCTGATTCTTTAAACTCTTCTTACATGTAATGTACTTGCTTCTAGAACACATGGTCACACTGCATCTGAATGAAAAACTAATTCATGTTACCCGAAATTCACATAGGAAAGTAGAACTTTATAAATGGAATGTCAAACCAGTTAAGGCTCAAACAATGAGGAATATGCATTTGTGTGTTGGTTGCAGAAGAAAAGAAGAAATGTCCATGGCCATCATGCCATGGTTGTAATTGTTGCCAGGCACTCCGATACTGTACATGTCCGAAGAGATGTTCATGGCCATCATGCTATGGTTCTAATTGTAGCCAGGCACTCCGATACTGTACATGTCCGACGAAATGTTCATGGCCATCATGCCATGGTTCTAATTGTAGCCGGACACTCCGATACTGTACATGTCCACGGTGTTACTTTAGGCGGCCAAGCTGCCATTTTTCTTGTTGTAGTTGGGGGTTCTGCTACTCTTGGAACTGTAGCAGATATTGTTGTTCTTCTTGCAAGTATGCTTCTCTCTTTCTCCTGCTCTGCACATACTCTCCGCCACTTTAGGACTTGATCCCCTGATCCAACCAAACCAATGCCTGAATTTGTTAGAGAACGCCATGAAACTAAATGTGCCTGTGCTTGGATATGGTGGTGATCTCAGTGTAGCGAGGCGGCTCGAAGTACCAGAACCTGAACCATTCTGTTCAATTTGTGTTTTGCAGTTTAGCTGATAGAGTAAGGAGCGATTCTGATAAAACAAGTGCAGATCAAGACCACCACACGGCAAACATAGAAGAGGAATTTCCAGCCATCTTCGACACCGAATACTCCGAAGTCTACCTCGAAACAAGGTGGTCGTGGTTGGTTTTCATGCTTTCCATCCTGGTGCTCCTGCAGCTGCCCACTTCGGACCCGTTGCTGCTGTTGCTGAGGAGAAAGCTCCCCTCGATCTTTGAAGCTTCTCTGGCTAGTGATCTAGACATCTGTTACGATGCTTTAGTCAAATGTACAATCTTTTAGAGCTAGAATTGGGTCAGGACATCATGACTTAGTACCTACATATGTCCATTTAGTACAATCTTGTAGGCTAGAATTGGGTTGGGATGGAACTCACTTGAAGGAATCCTTTTGCATAGCTTCAACCATGTACGTTAATTGTCCCGGTAAATTAAGGGCAGAGCCAGAAAATTTGAGGAATGGGGACAATATATATTTTTTTTAGATTTAGTTTTAATTGTTGGTTAATTAATTTGTTTGTGGGGGTCAATTTTTAATTTTAATAGGGACATGTATTAAAAAAAATACCCTAATATTCAAACAAAATAAAAATTAAGTCCACTCATTTGGATGTGGCACCCGCCACTAGGATTGGGAATATTCCAGTGAATTTAAATCTGGGTTGGGGATTTTTGCAAACTAATTAAATGGTAATTTAACTTTCGATTTAGAAAGCCTTGGCAGTTAGAATTGAGT